GCTCTAAGCTGAAGGAACATATCAACAGGTTAGACAGCTCAGTAAGTTCCTCAGTTTTTTCACACGTAGTGGCATGTGTCTGTGGTCATCAATATGAATACTTATTGTCCTACTGAAGTTCTCTGTTGAAGATCGCAACTCACATGTTCAGCTCCTTAGTCATCTGTGTTCATGCAAGTTATCAAGTAGCCAGTTTTAGGGTGTATACATATGAAGGAATTTTGACCCTCATCTTTTACTTCCTATAGACTAAAAACCTTGATTCACACAATTATTGCACACTTAAGCTTCAAAAGTATATAATGGGGACAAAAAAAGGTGAATGTAAGACAGCCTGCTTGGCAGCATTGCGCTGATTAGTGGAGGTGGTCAGAAAAGGAACTCCACATGATTGCACAGCTGATCTTTATGCATAAATAACAGTAGTAATGTTTGATGGCACTCATAAGTACTCATATTTTCTCCCACTTATCGATACTAACTTGCATTCATACTCGGAACAACTGACTCTTATGTGTACTCAGTGACTTTCATACTCGGGTTTACTCATTCCCCTCATTATACTTGCGTTTTTTAAATGAGTGTGCTTACTCCTGACTTATGAGTGAGTGAAACGCCGAGCTGTAACTGTCGCATCTTCTGTAAGTGAGAGAGCTATATACACAAGAATGTTTGTAAAGGATTCAATTAAACGAAATGAACTTTTTATTAGAAAAATATTTGCCTGTGTTCATAGACACGTCCTACCAAAACTAAATTATTTACATACGGTAAAGCAAAGTGCTAATTACTGGTATAACTCTTGTACCAGCTATTTGGCAATTAAAACAGACCCATTCTCTTTGCCATAAAATTAACAATGACAGAACTGTTTTTCTTTCATCTTAGGTGTGTGTTATTGAACTTTTGGTGTTCTCTGTACTATCAAAACAACAAAGGTTTTAACCAAAAACGCCGTGCCTTCGGGGCTCTGCAAATTGAAAAGATTTGCTATTAAAGGAACACTTTTCCTTAAGAAGTATCAGGCATCTACTTCTTCCATTATATGCGCATCATGAGAGCATACTCAGTCACCTTATTAGGTTACTGGCATGCACTATATCATCTGGCCTAAATTACCAGATGATATCCTCAGAAATGAAATCTTGAAGTACAAAGTCTACATGCATGAGTAGGGGTGCCTGCGTGCTTTGTATAAGATGCCGTTTAAACCTTTCTGAGACTAGTTTTGGTGAAAAACGCTTTTTTACATGATGTGTCATGCATCTGCACAGTGTCTTGTGTATCAAAGCTTGAAGACAAACATAATCACCTTTGGACAAATAGCTTCAGTCTGTCTTATTTATTTGTGAAAAAAATTGTCCAAGTGCACACATATGCTGACATGGTTCGGCTATAGATGTAATATTGGTATATTTAAATCTTTTCGAGAGAAAGCTATCCCCAAGAGTGACAGTGTTTCCCTTCTAGTCCTACGGCTGTTATACCTCAACCACCACAATATATGGCTGAACGTGTGCTTCACTTAATTAGGTGTACTTGTATGTGCTGGGCTTTGCTCAAATCCCAGGTGATCAATAACAAATGTGCATCACCACACAGAAGCTCCCCATTAAAATCACAAAGCACATGTAGAGCTGCTTAGTTATTAGCTTTCATGCAAATTATTAAGTAACCAAATTGAAAATACAGATGTATGAATTAAAGTTGCCTTGCTACTCTACATTACAATAGGCAGTGAGTCTTCATCTGCAAGAATATTGCGTTTGTGAGTTACACAGGAAAATGAAATACAACGGGAATAAAAGAAAGACAAAAGACAAAATAAAGGCAGCGAGCTGAACCAGGTTGAACTGAGTGAATAAAAGAAAGACAAAAGACAAAATAAAGGCAGGAGCTGAACCAGGTTGAACTGAGTTGCTGCCCTACAGCCTAACGTTTGAAGGAAGTGGTCAGAAATGAATTGGTAAGCATGAGAGCACAACTGATGTGTGTGGACACACAATGGGGCTTATTATTGATGCAGCGGATGCTCGTGTATAGAGCTGTGTTGTTCAAAGATTTTCAAAAGCACTGTTTTAGCCCACACTGCAGATTACGCTTCAATTTTAGTACCATATAGGACACAACTTGGGAGCCTGTTTTATTGACTGAGAAAGCTAGAGGTGAAACAGATGCTTTAAAATATTCATAATGACTTCATGAACACGCAAAAGCAACATGGAGCGCGATAAAGTGAGGAAGCGTGAGTTTTCAGTGAATGCTTCAACAGTGCTGCAAAGAAATTTAACCAATGCCTAAGCGTTGGTCCTTAGTTCGGCTCTTAGTTAACGCGCACGCTGCAATCCCCATTAGCAGCCATTGGCGTGTACATTGAGCACTAACTGTCAAGAAAGGCTCAACACTGTCGAAATTTGGGCTTGTTGGTGCATTGTGACAACAGAAAATAGCGCAAAGAAACGGGGACACAAGACGAGGACACACGGCACAGCGCCTGTGCCGTGTGTCCTCGTCTTGTGTCCGCGTTTCTTTGCGCTATTTTCTGTTGTCAAGAAAGGGTTGCTACGTTATACTCGCTGGGTGTAACATCCTTAGTTTTTGAAAGGTTCAGCGAGCGTTGGGCTATAGTGCCATCAATACAATGAACTAGTATATACCATGAATGAACTCGAGGTGATTAAAGGTGGGAAGTAGATACGAAGCGCAAGCCGTAAGAAAGTAAAAGCCGAATTCTGCTGTCTCACTTTCCCCGTTAGCAGACAATGGCATGTACATTGAGCAGTATCTGACAGGAAAAGGTTCTACGTTATACTCGCTGGGCGTAACCTCCTTGGTTTTAGAAAGGTTTAGCGAGCGTTGGGCCGCAGTGCCATGAATACAGTGAACTAGTATATACCTTGAACTTGAGGTGGTTAAAGGTGGGAAGTAGACCCGAAGTGCAAGCCGTAAGAAAGTGTGCATGTGCCACCTCTCGTTTAGTCCTTCGAATGTCCGCTGGATGGCGTTGCTTCTATGTGGGGAATATATGATGAAAAGATGCGAGATGGTGGTACTTGGAGTGTTGATTAGATGGACGAACGGACACTTAGACAGATGCATGAATGGACGCATGAACGGACACAGAGGTGGATGCATGGACAAACGCAGGGACGGATCGACGCACGAACAGACGCATGCACGGACGAGCGGATAAACGCATGGACGATCTCACAGACGGACGCATGGATTGACGGATGCAAGAACGAATGGATGGACAAATGCTTCACCCCACTCTCCATCATTCACTCCGTGGATATGCTGCCAATTTTTTTATGCTTACACAAAAGCTTGAGCAGTTGTTGAAGCTTGTTTCCCGGGGCTCTCATGCGATTGAGTCGGCCACAGCGTGACATCAGGGTGGTACATTTATAATCCCTTCATCTAGCTGTGTTACACTCAGTAGCTCTCTCACTCGATCCCAAATCGAGCGCGGGCCGGGACGCTATTGTGTGCATGGCTGTGCCGGGCGTAGCGGTGACATCAGCTGATCGCGCCAGCCGCCTTGCTTCGCTTTGCTTTAAAGCAAAAAAAAAAAATATCATGCATCAAAAAACCGCGTACTGCATTATGCAAAAACGTTACTGCTTTGTTGTCATCCTCTGATTCATTGAGAACGCAGATACAACTACTGTAGAGCACCGAACGTAAAACCGCGCTATGTCTGTCGCAGAAGCAGTAGAAAGCTGTCGTCTGCTAGAACGAAAATTGAAATAAAAAAAACTTCAGAAAACAATAAGTTTTAGGAAGTTGTTCTTTTGAGTAAGCTTTTATTATGTTTTAAATTATTTTGTCCTTATAACATACAGTTTTTTTGTTTAAAATGGCACCAAATGTTTTTTTTTTTTTTGCAAACAGATTAAGCCAAAGCCAATCACAACTGAAGCCACATGTTGCTGGCGCTTTTCCGTTTCTGTGGGCATGCCATTTCCCTGTGTTTTTTGTGTGTGCCGCAAGTGCAGAAGAAGGTTGAAGGTAAAAGCATTAAATTTACGCAAGGTAGCGCCGTTCCTCGTTCGTGCGATTTAAATGATTGCGCGCTATTTCCGCGGTTTACTTGAATGCGGATCAAGTGTGAATCGTCCAACTGAATTGGCGGAATGTGTAGGGCGTTTGAAGGACCCCGAGGTGACGGCTGACACTTGTGGTCGCATGCCTCAGGACAGTGTGATAGAAAGTAAAGCTAAGCGGGACACATTATCTTGTAGACTAAGTGAAAGTGTGTGTCGCCTGCACTCGAACGAGGTATCGTGCAACGGCAGCCTTAAACGCCTTTGAGAGTGCGGCTACCGATTCGCTTTACAACACTGACACTAGTGGAGCAATTGCACATTGGCACGGCCTTACTGGAACTACTTCGTGGCAACTGCGGCAACATGCATGTCTGTGGTGATCGATGTTTTTTTTCACATGCGCAATGTAAGAAGCAGAACGCACACGGGCACGGCGCTTGCTACGTTGTTGAGTAAAGAAAGCCCGCAGTGCCATTGGATACAAGGCCGTAATTTATTCACATTCACTGCTAATACAATTATTAACTCGTTTCTATTCACCCAGCCAACCACCAAATGTGTATGATAAGCATCCGTTCACGGTGGAGCGTTACTATACCCCTGAACAGTGGCTTTTGCTTGTTAAACGTTATAATGTGCATGTATTGTGTGAGAGGGGTGTTCGTGCAACCTATATGTGGCTACATGGTGCCTTTTTTGTAACTAATATAGTACCGGCCAGCACGTACATGGAACGTCTGACTGTGAAGAAAACTTGCACGCACAAAGTAAGACTTTCTAATCTGTCAGTGCTGCTTTCTATACGGTAATGTACTGCCAGCATGTTTAAAATATGCTTCGATGCTCTGTGGCAGTAGTCTGATTATCGCGTTGTGTTGTTGCTGATGCAAGCATTTATAGTTTTGATGCAATATTATTTCTCATCTGGCTAACTCAACAGTTGTTTGGCTGTTTCAGTACAAGCAAGTCAAAGAGAGAAGGAAGATGGGTAATGACAGGACCAGTGCCGACTGTTGTTTGCACTAGAATACGTATGTTAGTACATTTATTTATACTGTCTCTCTGTTGTGCTTTTTGTCCAAGTTATGCTGCGAAACAGTTGTCAGCATTACAAGAGAGAATCCTGGAATGGGCTCTTGAATATCATAGTTACTAAATGCCTGGTAATGCGCAGCGCAAAGAACAAGATACATCAATAAGCACAATGTTGGACAAGTACAATCAGCCATCAGAAAAATGTATTGTGCAAAATGTTGCTTATAGACTTCTCCCTGTTTGGAAACGCTGTGATGTCACTACGAGCACGTCAACCACCATTTTTCCTTCGGTGTAAGGGCTGGTTGGCAAGAAAGTTCAGCGACTAGGAGCGCGGAACGAACACAGACACGAAGCAAAGGGGAAGCACACAGCACGAGCTTTCAACTAACAGTTGGTTTATTCTCACGTTAGAAGCAGATATAAGTACACAAAGGTGCGCATGTCAACAGCAATAAGACAATAGTGTGAGCAGCAAGCGTGGCGTTCATTCGAAGCACTTATCTATGAAATATCTATATAGTTAAACTCACAGTCAAGTAGTGATAATGACGCATGCCTGATACATTGATCCTTCTTTCTAGAAATGTGATATGCTTCAGAAATTTCGCGTGTGGTTTAAAGCGGATGCCTGAAAAGTACACTTGATTTTTCAAACAATGGCTCGCATTTGCAGGAATTGCAATCTGAAGCTAAAATGGAAAAGGAACTCAAATGCTCCCTGAGGCGTACATTCAAACATCCGCAATTTGGCCGACGTACATGCGACCGCAAAATAGTGCTTTGCTATACATCACTCCTAAAATACACTTAAACTGTTTCGCATGTTTCTGGAAACATCCCCTGCTTTTTGACGCGCCCTGCGCCCTCCTATGCACCATAGCACATATACGCCCCAATTTATTGGGTGCAGAGAAAACAACGTGCAAACCAAACCGGTTCTCCGCATCTTTAGTCCGCCGGCGGATCTTTCTCCATAGCAGGGCTACGTGTGCTTGGATGTCTCAGAAAAAAATCTTTGACAAATTGTTTTTTCACAGCCATTAAAGAAAGGGTCCCTGCCTCTAATGCACGATTCCGTTATAGGTTGAGATGCGGTGAATTGCTCGTCGTAGATGACGGCCATTAAAAAAAGTTTTCGTCCTCGAAAGCGAACGTTCTTCACAATGACTGTGACAGATGCTTTGAGAAATGTTGGCATGGTACGGACGTAGACGTACCTAATTTTTAAGTGCTCTGCAGGTTAAATTTTTAAGTGCTCTGCAGGTTAATCTTTAAGTGCTCTGCATGTTAAAACGAGGCACTGCATTGGCTGCGGCAAAGTTTTTAACTGCGGTGCGATAGGTTACGAACCAGATTCTCACTCACGTTGGAAAGTTCTGATCGAAGATTAATGAAAAAATGAAACAAGAAACACTTTTTTCGTTGGGCATTAGGCTGAGCCTAACGAATCCTCGAGAAAATTGAAGCGAAGTTGTCGGTGACGTTTCTCATAGCCCACTAAAAATTTATGCAACCTTAAAGGGGCTCTGAAACACTTTTTTGAGTAACCATGAAATTACTTGACTGGAAAAGTGTATTACCTCGCAAATTGAACGCTGCAAAATAATTCGTCCAGTACGAGCGGAGTTGCAAAGATTTGTCACACCCTGCAATAGCATTCTCTCCTTTCGTCCCGACGAAAGCGCTGGAAGCAGAGCAGGGAGAGACGTAAGGGTAAAACAAACAAACAAAAAAGCGTCCCTCGCGCCTCGTGACGTAGTTCATTTTTCTTCTTTTTTTTCTTGAAATACACGTTTTTTTTTTTTTGTGCGATCATGCGCGCACGAGTGGACATGTTGCGGCCTCTCGCGGCGACTTCTGCAAGAACCGAGCACGCTATGTTCAAATAAGCCAATTCTGATAAATGGGCTTACTGGGCTTAATTCGATGACTTGTCGAGAGAAGAAAATCTATCTTAAGCTGACTTTGATAGTTTATTGTGAATTTCAGGCTGCGTGCTGCGCTCATAATCGGGCTCGCGTGTTGTGGGGTGCTTCTGCTACTGATCGGCATCGTTTTCTGTTGATGCTCAAGAAGTGTTGCAGGGCACTCTATACCTTAATTGTATGCGCGATTTTTTGGTAGTTACATCGCTGCATCTGACTCCTAAAACTTGTTTGCATACTTACATTGCGCCCTTAAGACCTAACACAGAAACTTGTAGTATGCATTGTCACTTTATTTATGTCAAGCGGTAAAGGTACTAAGTATATGTGAAACAAGATTATCTCCTCTTTACATGGAGACATCAAACCTCCGATAAAATGAGTTATATATTTATTGGGTTTGTGTAGTCATCAGGGCTAGGCGCAGATGCAGCTTCAGCAATGGTGTCTTTTATCCCGGTGATCATGCCATTTTTTTCTGCACGCAGCGCAAACGCTGAGATTTACCCACTCGCAAATGATCGCGTCAGATGCATATTTATTTTGACTAAAGCGTCGAATCAAGTTTTGTCGACAGGCGATGGCTGCCACAATGAGTGCTAGTGTCTTAGCAAAAAAAAAACGCATGTTTAGTCACACTACATACACCTCGCACACATATCTCAGTTGGTGAACCAATATTGTCGAGGCCTTTTAACGCGTGCTACACGCCGCAATCAACTGTGCACATTTTCGAAGACGATGCCACTGTTCCTCACACAGGCCGCCACGTGTGTTCACTTCAAGATAAATAGCCAGCGTGGCAAGTATTTCATCAAGCATTTTGCCACACAGCTAGATGTTTGCTCACACATACTACAACTAGTGTCATCATTGTAACATGAAGTTTAACTAATAATATTGTAGCACGTAAAAACTGAGACACAGGACAAGGGAAGGGGCGAAAGGTTTGAAGATTAGTTTAAGAATGAAGAATGAAGTTCAAATTTTGAAAAAAAAAAAAGAAAAACTATCCCACGCTGAGCCACCAGCGGGAGAGTTTTGCCAGCCACACCTTGCACGTGTGCCAGTGGGGTCACGCTGGGACGTACCCCGGTAGAGGCCTATTGTTGCACATCTCACTCGAATGAGGGTCCAGTTAAAGAATCCGGCGTTGTTGATTTTGTAACTTCTTCATTTGCAACTGTACCTTCATTCGCATGAGTTGTGTGGCTCATCTTATTTAGGCAAAGTTTTGTGCAATGAGTTACACAGTTGGCAGTCTGTGCTTGCCCCACATTTTGGTTACTGATATTTCTACTTTTTTCTCTGCACTGTTCATTGCTGCTCATCCATAGAAACTAGCCTATCTTGTCACTGTCTTGTGCAAAATGCAGTTGGCAAGTGCAATAGTGTTCATAGCACTAAATGCTTCAGAAAAATTTATCGTTTGATATTCAGTAAGTTGCGTGCATGTCAATATATTACAAGTAATCATTGATTAAACATAAATTCGCGTTCTCTTTCATAATGCTCACGACTGTATAAATCGAAATAGATGGTGCATATAAAAAACATAGGTATTAGCAAAGGAACGTCCATGCTGTTTTCTTGAACAGCTGACAAAAGGCTATTGCATGCTTACTTGCCACTCATTGGAATGTGTTTGAAATAAATTTCAATTGCTCACCACACTGCCAGTTCACATTGCGGGCAACACTAGCCACGGATTGAGTAAATTTTAATGACAGAGAGCAAAAAGGGGCAGGCCGGGAGGCTTCCTTGATATTGGCATCCGTTTTCCTACTCAGCACCATATTATGCAAGCTTCATATAGAGTGGTTATGCGTCTTGCATGTATATCTGTAAACCACAACGTTGGGTAAAACTATATTTGTCTTACGAATTGGTTGCAGTACTGTGGAGGCTGCAGGGCTGCTTAGCCAATATGAATGTTGGAAATCCCTGAACATGCGTTTATCCATGCTGCATCACCTGCTTGGTGTTGTCATGGCATCTTGGTGAGTGGTGGCATCTTGGTGAGGGGTGAGTGAAGCAACCAGGTTGCAACACAGGGAAAACAGTAATATAGCAGAACCTCTTGTGCTTGCCTTACATCCCAAGTATATAAAATATTTACCTTTCACTGTGTGGCCTGCAATTTTGAAAGTTACACTTCTTTTTGCTTTATATTTGGGTCTTGATGCTTTGACAGCAAGTATTATTGAACAAATAACCCATCTCAATAATGACAAAACACCCTTCATACTTTGTCCTTAGCATAAGCTGGCACATAGCTATAGCTCAATCGACTGTTTGTTTGTGGCTGTAATGGTAAAGGGCAAGTAGTAAATGCAAATTCAGATTCAAGCAGTTGGCGACGTCTGTTTAGGCTGTGCCTTGTTTCTTTGCAACCAGAGTTCCTCTTGGCCACATATACAATAAAGCCATATGACGTACATTCTAAATGATATTACGATATCACATATCGCTGCGTCCTATTATGTGTCCAACACTCCAGCTTGCCACTATAATGGGATCCTTAACCAACACAAGGTTGAAATTTACTCGTGGTGTTGCAGCTGTCTGCGAGCATACAATGAATGCATAGCCGTGAGAATTTGTTCATATGCTGTTGCAAAAATATTATTACACACATTGGATGATACAAAAGAGGCCCTCGCTTATTTCGCTTTTTTTTTGCTATGTTTCATTCATTGGCTTGTCTCTTTCCTTGCCGTGTGCTCCTTCTCACTGTGCAAGGAGCAAGAGCAGTGGGCACACAAACACGTATCTCAAAAAAATGTTGACGTAAGGTGAGCACTGAGAGGCTGAACACTTCCAAACAGCTCAATGAGGAGAAGGAATTGTTTCTAGGAACATTTGAGGCACCTGTGGCTAGTTGTTATGCTGCAGTTGTCATTGTTGATCAGAATCCTATTCTGAACTCGTTGCACACATTTGCTTGAAATGTTAAAAAGTAATTGGGGATGGTTTGGTGGTCTTTAATGCAATTACATAGAGAGCTAGGTTTCAATGTGTCAGCAAAATCTGTTAACTATAAATCAGTCACATTGATTAGTGAAATCCAGAAAAGATTCACACAAAAGCTCAGGAAAAGGCTAAGTGGTTGCCCATTGAACGTGAAGGAGATAGGCAAGTCAATGGACAAGTCAATAGACGAGGTCTAGTAGTCTCGATATTACATGCACTATCAGATTTTTTTGTGGTGCTTTTCATGGTTGTTATCATGAGACGGGTTTTGATTGAACTGTTGTCACGTTGCCCTGTATTGCTGAAATTGCCTAACATAGGTGTAATGCAACTCATGATTACAGAGTTAGACAAGGTGAGCAGAAAGGTGGGTCCTAAAATTAATCTGCAGAAAGCGAAAGTATTGTACAACAACCTCGGAAGAGAGCAGCGCTTCGAGATAGGCAGTAGTGCACTTCAAGTTGTAAAAGACTATATGTCTACTTAGGGCAGGTAATAACCGCGGAGCCGAACCACGAGATTGAAGTAAGTAGAAGAATAAGAATGGAGTGGAGCACATTTAGCAAGTACTTTCAATATATGACAGGTAGATTGCCACTATCTCTTAAGAGGAAGGTATATAACAGTTGTATCTTGACGGTACTTAGCTACGGAGCAGAAACCTGGAGACTTACAAAGAGGGTTCAGCTTAAATTGAGGACGACGCAGCGAGCAATGGAAAGAAAAATGGTAGGTGTAACCTTAAGAGACAAGAAGAGAGCATAGTGGATTAGGGAACGAACGGGGGTTAAGGATATCATAGTTGAAATCAAGAAGAGAAAATGTATATGGGCTGGGCATGTAGCGCGTAGACAGGATAACCACTGGTCATTAAGGGTAACTGACTGGATTCCCAGAGAAGGCAAGCGAGTTAGGGGGAGACAGAAGGTTAGGTGGGCAGATGAGATTAAGAAGTTTGCGGGTATAAATTGGCAGCAGCAAGCACAGGACCGGGTTAACTGGCGGAACATGGGAGAGGCATTTGTCCTGCAGTGGACGTAGTTGGGCTGATGATGATGACGATGGATGCATTGCTCGCTTTATGCCTTTTGGTTTTATGCAAATGGTGCACTGAACCAGTCCGTTTGACATGATCTGGATAATATAAAGGGTCTAAAAATTTCTTTTACTTACAGCTGGTGTAATTTGAAATAAGCCACGGTAGATGCCAACGCAATCTGTGACGCGCTTGATTAACGCATTACTATCATTATCCTAACTATAACCGCTACAGAGCATAGTGTAACATAAATATTAGTATAACATTACTGTCTGCATACACTTACACTTATCAAATATGTTAGAAACCCTAGTAAAATGTGTGCACTTTCTGTTTCACTCCAACTAAATATTCTGGCTGTATTCAAATCAGCTTCCACTCTTTAAGGTCCTCACATTATTTGGTGGTCAAAAGAAGTGTCAATGCCATATCCTTCGTTTGTCGGCCTATTCAACACTTTATTATCGAGAATTGACAGACGGCACTACCTAGCAAAATATAGAAATGTTATAAGAAGTAATGTTTTTGCAATTGCTAGAAAATGCTAGCGTATTAGTAACTTGTCACCAGGTCATCTTTTTGTTTACTTTTTTCTTCACAATTTCGTTACAATTACCTCCAAAAGCACTTGCAAAAAGCTCAAAGTGGAGAAGGAATTGTTTTGAGAAACTTCTTTGGCACCCGTGACTAGTTGTACTGCTGCAGTTGTCATTGTTGATCAGAACGCAATTCTGAACTCGTTGCACACATTTGCTTGAAATGTTAAAAAGTAATTGGGGATGGTTTGGTGGTCTTTAATGCAATTACATAGAGAGCTAGGTTTCAATGTGTCAGCAAAATCTGTTAACTATAAATCAGTCACATTGATTAGTGAAATCCAGAAAAGATTCACACAAAAGCTCAGGAAAAGGCTAAGTGGTTGCCCATTGAACGTGAAGGAGATAGGCAAGTCAATGGACAAGTCAATAGACGAGGTCTAGTAGTCTCGATATTACATGCACTATCAGATTTTTTTGTGGTGCTTTTCATGGTTGTTATCATGAGACGGGTTTTGATTGAACTGTTGTCACGTTGCCCTGTATTGCTGAAATTGCCTAACATAGGTGTAATGCAACTCATGATTACAGAGTTAGACAAGGTGAGCAGAAAGGTGGGTCCTAAAATTAATCTGCAGAAAGCGAAAGTATTGTACAACAACCTCGGAAGAGAGCAGCGCTTCGAGATAGGCAGTAGTGCACTTCAAGTTGTAAAAGACTATATGTCTACTTAGGGCAGGTAATAACCGCGGAGCCGAACCACGAGATTGAAGTAAGTAGAAGAATAAGAATGGAGTGGAGCACATTTAGCAAGTACTTTCAATATATGACAGGTAGATTGCCACTATCTCTTAAGAGGAAGGTATATAACAGTTGTATCTTGACGGTACTTAGCTACGGAGCAGAAACCTGGAGACTTACAAAGAGGGTTCAGCTTAAATTGAGGACGACGCAGCGAGCAATGGAAAGAAAAATGGTAGGTGTAACCTTAAGAGACAAGAAGAGAGCATAGTGGATTAGGGAACGAACGGGGGTTAAGGATATCATAGTTGAAATCAAGAAGAGAAAATGTATATGGGCTGGGCATGTAGCGCGTAGACAGGATAACCACTGGTCATTAAGGGTAACTGACTGGATTCCCAGAGAAGGCAAGCGAGTTAGGGGGAGACAGAAGGTTAGGTGGGCAGATGAGATTAAGAAGTTTGCGGGTATAAATTGGCAGCAGCAAGCACAGGACCGGGTTAACTGGCGGAACATGGGAGAGGCATTTGTCCTGCAGTGGACGTAGTTGGGCTGATGATGATGACGATGGATGCATTGCTCGCTTTATGCCTTTTGGTTTTATGCAAATGGTGCACTGAACCAGTCCGTTTGACATGATCTGGATAATATAAAGGGTCTAAAAATTTCTTTTACTTACAGCTGGTGTAATTTGAAATAAGCCACGGTAGATGCCAACGCAATCTGTGACGCGCTTGATTAACGCATTACTATCATTATCCTAACTATAACCGCTACAGAGCATAGTGTAACATAAATATTAGTATAACATTACTGTCTGCATACACTTACACTTATCAAATATGTTAGAAACCCTAGTAAAATGTGTGCACTTTCTGTTTCACTCCAACTAAATATTCTGGCTGTATTCAAATCAGCTTCCACTCTTTTAAGGTCCTCACATTATTTGGTGGTCAAAAGAAGTGTCAATGCCATATCCTTCGTTTGTCGGCCTATTCAACACTTTATTATCGAGAATTGACAGACGGCACTACCTAGCAAAATATAGAAATGTTATAAGAAGTAATGTTTTTGCAATTGCTAGAAAATGCTAGCGTATTAGTAACTTGTCACCAGGTCATCTTTTTGTTTACTTTTTTCTTCACAATTTCGTTACAATTACCTCCAAAAGCACTTGCAAAAAGCTCAAAGTGGAGAAGGAATTGTTTTGAGAAACTTCTTTGGCACCCGTGACTAGTTGTACTGCTGCAGTTGTCATTGTTGATCAGAACGCAATTCTGAACTCGTCGCACACATTTGCTTGAAATGTTAAAAAATAATTGGAGGTGTTTTGGTGGCCTTTAATACAATTACATACAGAGCTAGATTTCAATGTGTCAATAAAATCTGTTCACTTTAAATCAGTCATAATGATATGTGAAATCCAGAAAATATTCACAGAAAAGCTCAGGTAAAGGCTAAGCAGTTGCCCATTGAACGTGAAGGAGATATCTGGCATCTAAGAAGTCAATAGTCATATTATAGTAGTGTCGACGTTACATGAACTATAAAATTTTTTGTATGGTGCTTTTCGTGCATGTTATCATGACAGGGATTTTTAATTGAATGGTTGTCACTTTGTCCTGTATTGCTGAAATTGCTTAACATAGGCTGGCATTGTTCTCTTTATGCTTTCTCGTTTTATGCAAATGGTGCGCTTACCCAGTCCGTATGACTTGATTTAGATGAAATCATAAAGGCTCTAAAAGTTTTTTACTTACAGCTGGTGTATTTTGAAATAAGTCACGGTAGATGTGAACGCACTCGTTGACACGCTTGATTAACGCGTCACTATCA